TTTTTTTTTTAGCACTGACATCGTTTTAAATAAATGTCTCGATCTCTTGGTTTCAGGTGAAGGTTATGCTAAAAGTGTCACCCGGAGAAGGTGGAAGCTTTTTTAACGCGGATAAAAGGAAGAAACAGGTGACACTGGTTGACCCAACGGCTGGACAGTCCTCTTCGGCGGATGATCGAAGGCCGACCGTGGCAGCGCCGAAAATGTTTGCCTTCGACGCGATATTTACCGAGGAGGACTCTCAGGTACGCTTCGACGATTTCCATTTCGCTTCCCCTTTCTTTGATTCCCTCTACGAATCCCCGCGATAATTCACGAAACAGTGATTTTTATCGCCGTCTTCCCCTCGGCCACCAGTCGAGTTCCTTTAGAACGTAGAATTCGATGGCGCGGCAGGGATCTTTTCTCTATCGTTTCTCCGCGCGTATTCGAAGCCAGCGCGGGGCTTCTGCGAAGATAAATAGGAAAAGAGAGGAATTCTGAAGGAAGTTAAAGAGGAGGGAAAGCGCACGGCGGTGCGCAGAGAAATTTGAACGTTGAAACGTCTACGTGCTCCGTCGTCGGCTCGCGCTCATTCCTAGAGACGCGCAGGAGACGTCCCTGCCGGGCGCATAACTAAACTAATTTCCCGACCTCTAAACTCCACCTCCCGACAGGAAAATCTAACCTCGTCCGACCTCTCTCCGACCCGCGTGAACCCTCGGGCAAACGTTGCTTCTTGCTCGTGACTTCTCATTCCTCGACGTTACGAGAAGCGCCACGAGGTTGCGTCAAACTCTGATAGTCGTGATTATTTTCGAATTTTCGCGTTCCCAGTTGTCTTTCACACACACACACACACACACACACACACACCCTCCATCCCGATTTTTCTTTCAGCTCTCTTATCTCCGTTTCTCCTCAACGATATCTTTTTCTACGAATACAAAATTCTGCCAATGATAGATCTTTGATAAATCTTCGTTTCCTCCGCAGTTCTTGGCAATTGCGGCTTTAAATAAATGGGAAAATATCATCAGATCGATCAGCGTCATCTTCCTTCTGGCTCGAAGAAGATAAGATAACTCGATTCTTCTTCTCGCATCTTACCGCTTACCGTTGCGAATTTTATTGCCGTGACATTGACGAACGACACCGCCGTGGCGAATATCATCAGGGGCGCGCGACGCGCGTTATAATATCACGAGATGCATGCGTGCAAGTCGGGTAACGCGTACGTGTGTATAGGTGCACCGAGATATTTCGATGCTCTCTAGGGACATTATCGAGCGTCGGATTCAAATGAACCTGGAACTGCTCGGTTTTCCCGGCGATTCCCCTCGTCAGTCGAGAANTCTCTCTCTCTCTCTCTCTCTCTCTCTCTCTCTCTCTCTCTCTCTCTCTCTCTCTCTCTCTCTCTCTCTCTCTCTCTTTCTAGCCGTGAATATCTTTCTCTTCCGCAGTAACCTCTCTATCCCGTGCCGCGGTTGCTGTGCCAATCCTCTCTAGGGACTAGCCCTTCGTTCCCCGCTACTAGTGTGTTCCTCTGGTTCTTTGACGCCACTCACACCCCTATCAGCCACTGTTTAGAAGAACCATGCAAAGCAATCGATTGATTCGATCAAATATCCACGTCCGATCGCGATTGTCATCCAAAGTCACAATAGCTCTTCATTCTCCCTTCTATACCTTTCCCTTTTTTTCGTCAGGTTTTTCCTTTTTTTAATTCTTTTTCGTTTTCCCTTTCGATTCTTTCGGTTCTTCATCGCGAACGTCGCGGTTCAAGCGCGTTCTTTCAAACAGTAGCCAAACTTCGAAGTCGAGAGAACAGGGAGAAAATTTGCAGAGAGAATGCGTATTGGGGGTCGTCCTTTTCGACGACCAACCGTCAAACGCAGGGCCGTGTGAATATTTTAGACTGGATGCCGGCGCGACGCGGTGCCGACCGATCCCAATTCCAAAGTGATTCATCTTTAATTAGTTCCTTCTCTCTTTCTCTCTCACCTCTGCCCCTTTCATCTTTTTCACTTGTCTGTCCTTTCCGATAGAACGAGATTTCAAACGGCGGACCAATTGTCCAGATTTCATATTATATCGCATAGTCGGCGAAGCTAGATTTTTCTTCCATTTGACGGAACGAACTCGATTGGCGCTCCGGTTGATTGACAGGCTCGTCTCGTTAGTGTGTTGTAATTGGTCGACAACGCGACCGCCTTTAAAAACGTGAATCTCGTCGGCTGGAATTACACAGACGGGAAATGTAATCCAGTCCCGTCCGCAATTCCCGTCGACCGATAATCTTCGGCCAGTGGATACCTTTGCTATCTGAGTCCGCAAATACGCGAACCACGGACGCCCAACCACTGTGTGGAGATGCGTCCCAATATAACGCGCAAACAGACCGCACCAGCTTGATTATGGGTCAGTCGTAAATTAACATCGTCGATGGAAGCTATTGGTCGTTTAATGGCATTGCTGTCCCCCTTCGTATGGCTGCACAACGCGTGAAATCTGTTTTACACGAAGAGAGACCCTCGTTACGTTGTAAACTCATGGAATACTTATTTTAAAAATAACTGTGCTTCGAAAATAAAAATGGTCATTTGACGAAAATGAGAATTTAACGTATTCTATAAATGTCACGCTAATTTCAAATCTTATTAAAAGAACGGTATTTCTGTCTGCGTGAAAAAGAGAAAATGCTTTTCACTTCGGGGAAAATTGATATCGCGAAAAGAAAAAGTGCATTACTCGGATTGGGCGTCAAGCTAATGGTAATAAATTCGTAATATCGGTGGCTGTCACAGCCATTCATCTTGACGAGTTGCGGTTATTACGTAAGAATAGACACGTACGGGTTGCAACCACCGGGTAGTTTCATGCTCGCTCTAACTTTATTTCCGTGAAACCGGCACCAAGAAAAAAGGCGGTAAAGAAAAAACGTCGTTTCTAAGGAAAATGTCTTTGAAGTTCCAATTTGTTCGACGTTCCTCCCTGCGTGGCTTGGTTCAACGTGTCGTTACGTGACACATACTCGGATGGTGTCGCGTGCAGAATCGGCAATTTGTCAAGTATAATGCTCGAGATTTGCGAATCGTGTTCCGTTCAGAACGTAAACATTCTACGACGCACAATTTTTGAAAGGAAAAGATTTCGAGTCGATTTGGCAATAAAGAATAGGGATTGAAAATTACTATTTCACCGCTATCCTTCCGTAGTTTTTTTTTTTCGATAATCGACGCGACAATACCGTGGTCCAAGCAACGAACATATTTTAAGTAGTGTTTAAAACATTTTTAACAAAATATTTTAATAATTAAATAAACACAAAATTAAAACTATGACGAGAAGAACTATTAACGTATTGCAGAAGATAAAAAAAAAAATTTCATTAAGGTGAACAGATATGTAGTGTGTGTTGCGTGTATATATGTGTGTATGTACGTAGGACAGATCGCACTGTTCCATGATACGAAGTTATCTCGATTCACGGCCTCGATGACCCTCGCGTTCCGTCGATCTCTGACAGTGGAATAATCTTCGAAGCTAATCTCACGTTAACTCGGTCAGGATACTTATCTGTCAATAGAGACCAAAGAGAAAGGCTGTCAATCTCAGGTGCCTCGACAACGTGGGGGAAAAGTGTGCTCGAAACCGAGCACGCTCACGGATCTGTTCGGTGTGCAAATGAAACCTGACCAAATTAATTGAACATCCATCTCAATTACGTGGCTCCGTAGGTGAATACACGCCAGAGCTAGACGCGTCCCCGTTCGAGATCTTATGTTTGTGTATACCGCATATATCGGCACTGGCCGCTGACAATTCTATCTCTGCGAACGATCCAGCAGAACAATGCATCCTGGACAGAATAATTCACTGGGGCCATTATGGTCGGTCCGGGACAAGAGCTTTATTATTGACTTACGACTAATAGTCACGCTGTGGATTACGCGCGTGTGTACGGTTTGGTACGCGCTTGCGTACATTCCAGCTTTCTCTTACCGACTAGCTAGATTTGTCGATTCTCTCTCTCTCTCTCTCTCTCTCTCTCTCTCTCTCTCTCTCTCTCTCTCTCTCTCTCTCTCTCGTCGTCGTCGTCATCGTCGTCGAGAGTACATTTTACTTTCTCCGTCTGTATAAACAACAGCGAATTCCCTTCTCTCACAGTATGAATTCGATCTATTGCTCATTTGTCAGCGAATGCTAACCGAACAACGGACTGCATTGAAACGTCTGGAAATTCATGGTGCGTAGCTTTCGGTCTCTGCGGGTTTCTGAGTGTCTGGACGAATTGCGTGTTCCTTCGCTTTTCTCTGTACCTTCCACGCAGATAGCATTAGCCGTTCGAAATGTATCGACGTCGAATTCTTATTAAATCGTCGAGCTGACAAAGAACGATGAATTGTTATTAAAAGGAAAAAATTCGTCGATACTTCTTCATCGCTTCTCTCTAATTTGTCACCCGGTTTCAATTATGGAAAATACCAAAAAATTATGCTCGATTGTTTTCTTACTCGCCAGAAAGATTAAAACAGAGCTTGGTTTACGATTCAATCATCCCCAGGGGTAGATCGTCTATACTTTTACCTTTTGACGAGAATAACCGTAACTCGCGTATTTAAAAAGCTCGTATTTTTAACGAAAATAATTTAATCTACACGCTATTATTTCGTACATACAGGGTGTTTCGTAACTTGTGGGACCCACTTCGGGAGCTAATTGTACGCCTAAAAATAATGAAAAATAGTCATATAAATATATGTCCTATCTGTCTTCGTTTATGAGATATAATGAATTTTCTGTTTT